TGATTAAGATTCAATAAAGAACTGAGATAGTAAAGTGATGACCTGAAAATGGACAAGAACAACTCTTACCTGCCCTCAAGATTTTATTTTCTTCAATTGAAAAATAGGTAATATGGTTATTATTAATTAGGATGTGAGTTTTGTTTTAATTAACATAATAATTCCTCTGAGGACAATTATAATCACATGATACCTTATATTCTTGTTCTCTTACCGTAGTGACAATTTAACTGCACATCTTATTGGGAGATAAAGTTTTATATTATTAATGCATAATGAATTCCTCTTCCAATACCTCATCCTAAAGTGGAGATGACCCAGGGTTCAAGGAGGCAGTATCAGTGGAGCACAAGTAGGGCTGGGAAGAGCCTTGGCCATGAAGCCCAAAAGCTGGCTCTGTTACTACCTAAAGTGCCCAGAGATAGGCAAGCCACTTATTCCTCTAGAAATTCATTTCTTTCTGTGCAGTATGACCAGATGACCTTTGAGGTTCCTTTCAACTCTAAAGTGATGATGCATCAATCCTTTTAGCAGTAAATCCTATGCTTCTGAGCATACCAGATCCAACTGTCCTGGAAAGACCTTCCCAACAGGCCCTGGCCAGGGTTAGGCTGTGTGTCAGACCCCAAGGACCAGCTTGGAAAAGTTATTCATTCGAAAGTTGGCCATCATGGGATCATTCACTCAGTAAACGTTTATGAAGCACTTACAGTGTGCCTGGCTCTGGGCTAAGTGTTAGGGATTCAAAGAGAGGCAAGAGACATTCTCTGCTTTCAAGGAGCTTTGGCCCCAACAATTCATAAAGTCCCTTGACTGAGGGATGGAGCAGTAATTATCTCGTAGAGGGCATACCCATGCAATTAAAATCATGGCTCTTTTGTGGTATTAAAAACAGGCACCTTTTAGAGATAATAGGGGAGAATCTTATATGGTTATGGGAATTAGGGATGCAAAAAAAATGATTATATTCAGCCCCCAGAGTCTGAATGAGAAAAACCATTAATAAACCAAAAAGATGTAAAATAGATCACTTATCATTTTGAGGAAAATAAATATAAGGAATAAAATCAAAGACAGAAAGAAAGGTCCGATGTGCTCCAGTACTTTTGTGGTAGCAGTGAACTTGAAACAAGGTAGTTTCCCATCAGTGTAGTGAAACAAATGGTGGCCCATAAATGAGATGGGTCGTTAGCATGCTGTAAGAAACGGTGCATATGAAGACTGCAGGGGGATGGGAAGACTTGGATGAACTGATGCAAAGTGAATTAAGCAGAATCTGTAAAACAGTATACACAATGACTTCTACAATGTCAGTGTAAATTAAGAGCAACAAAAATCAGAGGTGAACTTGGTCAAACTTGGGCCCAGAGAACGACTGTAGAATGCATCGCCCTCCGGTCTTTGCGCAGCCCGTGCTGTTAGGCTTGATTGCTGTGTTAGTTTTTTTCTAAAATGCTTCTTTTCTCTTTTTTATTCTTTGTTTTAAGAGATGCCGGGGGCAGGCGTCGGGAAATGAAAATTATATAAAAGCCAAAGGTATCAATAAAAATGTTTCAAAGCAAAGAAGGGGAAAGGTGACATCTCATTTCTCGGCCTCCTCACTTATCGCCTGCCTGTGATTCCCTTCTGTATATACTTCCATGACCAGTCACTTCACTTCTTTGTACTCGGAAGAATCTGCATCATCATCAGACAGTGGCCCCTCTATCTAGTCACGGTTCACATATAGAGAGAGTTTTTACCAAATTCTGACACCTGAGATTGCTCAGTAAGTACTGAGCAAAGCATTTGGATTTCTGCATCTGTCTCTAAGACAGCAGACTGATTTATGAAGTACTTAGCTAGCATCTGAGAATTTCATTTGGAGCTGCAACCTCGGACACGAGCACAACGTAAAAAAAGAGGTAGAAGCTCAGAAAGAACTATCAGGGCTGATCTTTCTTCCCTAGTGACTCCAAGTTATTGTTATCCAGCCCTTCAGAGTTCTTTGTGCCCAAGACCCCAGGCAGCTGAGCCCAGCCCGGCAAGCAATACAGGGGACTTCACCAAACCAGTCAGCCAAAAGCCAAAAGTTATATCTGGCTTGTTCTCTTTTTATCTATTACCCTTAATTAAACTTCTTCTGCCTGAGACCAGAGAACAGAAGTAGGACCCATGAGTCCTGACCGTCCCTGCTTCTCTGTAACTTGTAGCCGCTGTTCTGCTCACTCTTGTGGTGAGCCAGAATGAGTCTGATCCCACTTCTGCGTGAAGTGAATGGTCATGCTCTGCAAACCACCTGTTACACTTTGCAGTAATAGTGGGTGACATTCAAGGCCTGTCTCCACCGCTTCCAGGCTGTGCCTTGACTGGAGCAGCCCTTCATCGTTCTAATTTGCTGCTTCTAATCTGCCATGGGCTTGAAAAACAGATGATCCAGCTGGACAGAAGGGTGGGTTAAATGAGCCCTAAAGCCCTAAATAAGCCCTAAGTTCCAGCCCAAAGCGTTCTTCTATGAATAAAGTACACAAATTCTTGTCCATGGACCTCTGGTTTTCAGCCCACTTGGAGACTTTTGGTTTGGTACGAGTCCTTGGATTGCAAAGTGAGCGCACCCTATACTTTGCTGTCCCTCTGCCTTTTCCTATACTTTGAACTCCTTCTTTCTGCCATCTCCACCTGTTGAAATCTCCACCATTTTCAAACACCTAATTCAGTTCAACAGATATTTATTGCCCAGCTCAAATGCCAAACCCACGAAGTCAGAAAGTAGCCTTCCTTCTTCTCATCTCACGTAGCTCAGCTCTCTATGCCTCCCTTGTCTGTTCCTCTGTCATCCTGTCATTTTTCTGTCTTTTCTTGCTTGGTTAAAAATTCCTTAAGGACTTGGTGGCCTCTGTATGCCTCCCAAGCACCTAGCAGAGTTATTGTGCACATAGCAGCAATGTTGATGCTATTGTCCAAGCACACCTTGCCTTTCCTTTTAACAAGAGGAAAACTACTCTATTTACCAGGTTGCAGGAGCTCTCAGGTACAATCACAGCTCTGTTATACTGTGTTACTGCTTTCAGGAATTGTACCTGGAGCTTTGTGAGCTTTACCCTTCATAGCAGTAGCTTTGCTGTCTTGCTCTCACATGAGCTACTACGTCAACTCCTGGGTCACGTTTTCTGTCATCAGGTTCTTGGTTGAGGCTGTATATATTTATGTGGATCTTGGGCATTTTCTCTTGAGTTGCCTTTGATTGGCAATTACCAACTTCTTACCAAGGCCCAGCTGCTCACAGGGGTACCCTACCTAGTAGATCCTCTTTTTTCCTCCTCTTTGTCCCCAGTCATCAGATTTTGGAAGCCTCTACTGATCTCACAGCTCTGCTGCTGTTTCTGTTTCCATTGATCCTCTAGCAAGGCATTATAAAAACCAGACTTCCAGAGTGAACAGACCTGAGCCAGAGCAACTGTGTACACCATTATCACTGTTACATCAATGACAGGCAGTATGTCATTGTGGCCTGGGAGCCAGTCTCAGAGTCTGAAGACCTGCAGTCTACTCTTGCTTCTGACTTGTACTGGCTGTGTGACAGTGAGGCAACTCCATGCCCCCAGAAACTCTCAAAGACTGGAAGTTATAAAACACTGACACGTCTGAATCGATGCAGAGTTTTCTCCTTGTCTGTGAGTGTCCATCACTGCCAAAGTCAGCATCCGAGGATTCTGACTTCTAGAAAGCAGCTGAATATACAGAGCACATCATTTCCCACACCAGCTCTTCCCTTGAAGGATAGGGAGATGATGTGTGTCTTTATTCCTCACAAAGGTCTTTCATGAATTTCAGTTTTCCTCGTTTTTTCAATCACAGGCCACGTCCAAGGGAAGGAACAAAAAAAGATATCAGAAAACCTGTTAATATCCCTGTTGCCATTTCAAACTGAGCAGAATAGAACAGGCAGGTACAGAGGCCGTATAGTTGTAACTCTCCAAGTTTGTAGAAGGCTGTGTGTTGACCTCTGGAATTTAACCTAGATATTCCATGGCAAGCTCCCCTTATTATACCTTTTGAGGAAGTGATTTCAACGTCTAGGAAAGTTTCCACAAAATAAATGTCAATATGTAGAGCCTGTTAGTGTTATTCTTCAGTTGAAGGTGATGATTAATTTTGTCTGATGTGGAATGCTCCCCAAGTCTGACAGGGCCAAGCCTGGGTGGTCAGGGTAGTAGGAAAGGAGATGCTGTAAGTCTCCCAGGGAGCGTTCCACAGGTCACTGGCCTACTGCTTTGCCATTAACCTTTACCTCCTGGGCCGCGCAGGGCCCAGGAAGAGGCAGAGAGTCAGGCTGCAGACCAGGCTGTCATTCGTCATCTGCTCTTGGTCAGCCTCTCTCTGTCAGATGACAGCAGCAAGCAGCTCACATTTCCCAGATTCCTCAGTTCTTGACCCCTGTTGTTCATGACTGCAACACTTCTCTCCACCTTTTCACATCTCCCTCGAGTGTGGGGCCAGCCTGTGGTTCCTGGCTTTAGAACCTCAGCATCTCAATCTTGCTGACACCAGAAGTAAGAGAGGACTGAAAGCCTTCCACATTGTCTCTTCTCTCTCTCAGAAAACAACATTAATATAATCTGTAGGAATGGGGATAAGTAGTCCATCTTAAAGATCCCTAATGAAACAACACTGAGGAATAGAGAGGAATAGATTGGCACTTTTTCTCCTACTTCTAATCCCCCATAATTGGGTCTGGGGACTTTCACTGGCTTGATGACAGCCTATCCTATTCAAGACTGTAAGCAACACAACATTTAGCATAATTCAGTTCATTAGATGAATATTTAAAGGAAAGCATAGAATACATAGACTTAGCTTTTAAGGACATCATCCCAGGAGGGTACATCATTGGCCACAAAAGCACCTTTTGTACAAAATAGGAAGTAAGAGCCTAATGGACCCCTAGTCTGACCCAGTGTAGTAGTATTTCTGATGTTCTTACATAACACTTAACACATTCCCTTTAATTTGTGCTCTAGGTTTTCTGTCCCAGCTGGTTGCTGACCAGCCCTTGACCGAATGCATCCGTGCGGGCCACTACGCTGCCAGCGTCATCATTAAGCGCTCTGGCTGTACCTTTCCAGAGAAGCCAGACTTCCATTGATGAGCAAAAGGAAGAGCCCAGGTGAAAAGACAGTGCCCAGATTGGTTCCTGCTCATCTCCCGCAGCCTGGTTTCCATACTCATATTGTTAGAGAAGAACCTTTTCCTACTACAGTGATACATACTTAATTTAGGGGGTACGATGCTTAAGTAGAAGCTTTATTCTCTCATCAACTTGAAAAAGTGGTATTATTTACATAATTTGGTAGTCTCATTCAAATGTCAGTTACTTAAACAGTGTTACAACATTTCATCTTGCTCATTTTCAGTTACTTTGTAAATTCATATATGTCTAGGAAACTGGCTAATTTTTTAAATTTCTGTTTTGAACACAGTTTCATAATTTCACAGATATAAAATGTATCAGTCCTAACATCAGTTTAAGCTTTTTATATGCATATATTTAATTTAGGAGCATATATATGTGTATATATATGCAAAACATATATATATTAAAATTAAGGTACAGAAATATTTATGCTAAGCGTCTTACCAAGATATGCCAAATAGTCTCTTCAACGCACACTTCAAATATATAATGAACTTTGGGTAATGTAACGATTTGCCAAATTTTAGATTATATTAAAATATTCAAATCATAACCTGACACTTCCTGATGGTACTATGTAATTTGATACTGATAAAATAAACCTTGTCAAATATGAATTATGTTTCTCTTTCCTTGCCTTGCTGTCAACAACTAAGGGGGGAAGGGGTCATTTCATACTGGGGACTGCATTTGGGCCCCAGAGAAAAGGAAAAGGAAAAGGATGGGCCCAGTTCTACATTTGGTTCCTGAGCTTTGTATGCACAAAGAGGCATTATCACATCTTTAGGAATATGGTTTAAAGATCAAAGTTTCTAAAAAGGCCACTCTCTAACCACAAAAGAAAGGTACTAAGATGAGGTATGGTTAGAAAGAATGAAATCCAGATTTATCTATATCTCATTGTTGATTCGTATTAAGTAAAGTGTCCACTGATCTTTTTCAGACAACTTCAATTTAAACTCAGCAGCAAAAATTTATTAAACACCAACATTTTGCATGGTACTGTGCAGGGCACTGAGGATAGAAAGGTAAACAAAAAAATTTATAAGTCCAAAGACAGATGTGCTATGAAAATTGGAGGAGAAAACAGCCAGAGTATATCGAGGAAGGCTTCATGGCAAAGGTAACCTAGGGCTGAGGATTTGCAAAAGGTGGAAATGGAAGAATGAGAAAAGAGTAAGAGATCCAAGATGGAGGACTGTGGCCTGTTGAACTGGCTGACACTTATTATGATCACAAAACAAAGAATTTCAGAGGTGGTATTAGCGAAGACAAGTATATCTAGTACAACTCATACCCCAGAAAGAATCTCCACTATGACTAACCCAACAGACGTGGTCATGAAGACCTGTTCATTCAGTATGAGTTTGACCAATTCACCAGGCCATTGTCCTTAAGTGGCACCTTTTACATGAAGCTTTCCCTCATCCCTCTGGACCCTAGTACCTCCCCACAACCCAAATTACCTTGCTGCTGTTTTTTTTATATATTTTGTATATAAATGTACATGTTATAGTTTCACACAACACATACATGTGCACAGCCACATTGATCTCTTCAAACATTCTCATTATTCTTCCTTATCAAAACGATTTCTTTTTTGTGTCTTAAGAAGTTCACTTTTGAGAACTTCCTGTCCTTTTGGGGCTGACTTCCTCTGTGGAAGGTTAGTCCATAGGATCCTACTTATCCTTCCTCTGAACCCTAAACCCTTGAAAATCTTTTCCAAAATGTAGAATGCATATAAGATTATTCTTGGCTTTTCTCTTGTCTACCAACATCTGTGGCACAGGGGTTCTGAACCTTTGCTCTGCCCTGGACCCCTTGGGCTCAATATGGCGAAGCCCATAGGCCCCCTCCTCAGAATAGTGTTGGGTTTTTTTGTTGGTTTTTTTTTTCCAATTCCACAAGCATTTATTAAGTGTCTACTGTGTGCCAGGCACTGAGGATACAAAGATAAAAACACAAAACAGTCCCTGCGCTCTGGGAGCTTATGTCCTACCAGGTATTTATTGAGTCCTATTGTGTGCCCTGCCCTATGCAAGTCACTATGTGGGATCTGAAGAAATATACTGCAGTCTTCCTTTAGGGAGTTTACACTTTAATGGGAAGACAATATGCACCAATGGTCACAGAATCTAATGGATTCATTTTCCCAATTATCACCAAGAGTCCTCCAAACCCTTTCATTTCTCCTCAAACCTTGGATGACAGCTGAAAACCTTGCCTCATAATTCCTTCACTAAAAAAAATTGAACCAATTCACCAAGAGCTCTCCCTTCTACCTCCTCATCCCCCATCATTTTCATATCTTCCCCCACTTTCTCCTCATCCACCCCTTTCTCACATAAAAAGGTAGCCCTTCTCCTTGCCAAGGCCAACAGCTCCACACATGTGTACCTTTGATCTTATTCTATCCCCTCTAATCATCAGGAGGTTGGCCCCTTTATCATCTTTATTCTCTCACTAATCTTTCATTTCTCTCTGTCTACTGGCCGCTTCCCTGATGTCTAGAAACACACTCATCCTTTAAAAAAACAAGAAGCCTGCTCACCTGATCCACCTCGTTGCACCAGCCCTTGTCCTTTGTCTTTCCTCCCTTTCGTAGCTAAACTGGAGAAAGCCATGTATTGGTGCTTCCACTTCCTTTCCTCTCATTCTCTTCTTAACTTTCTGAAGTCTGGCTTCCACTCTCATCATTCAGCTGAAATGACTGTCTCCAAAATTACCTGTGATTCTGCCTAATCTAATGGCCTTTTCTCGAACCTCACCCTTCCTGACCTCTGTGCAACCTTTGACTCTTGACCATCCCCTTCTCCTAAATACTCTCTTCTCTCAAGGTTTTCCTAATGCTTCTCTCTCCTTAGTCCCCTCCTACCCATGTAACCACTCCTTCATCTTCCCAGGACACACCCACTAGCCACGAGTGTTACCAATGGGTCTATCCTGGACTTTCTCCCAGTATACTCTCTCACTTGGTAATCTCATCAAGTCCTAAGGATACAAATCATTTATATGCAAGTGATTCTCAGATCTGTTTATCCGGCCATAACGTCTCTCCTGACCTTCAGTCTTGCATTTCTCACTGCCTTTTGGGCAGATCTTTAACTCAGTGTGTCCAAAACTGAACTTATTATCTTTCTCCAAAAATTGTCCCCTCTTCTGAACTTCCCAGTTCTGTCCACGACACCACCATCCTCCCCAGTCTCCCAGGCTTGCAGCCTTGGAGGCTCATATTCACTCCCATATCCAGTCTATTGCCAAGTTCTGACAATTCCATCTTCTCAGCATCTCATACATACCCTTCTCTCACCACCATCCCAGTGCAGATCTTCATTATCTCACACCTGGACTACTGCAATAGCCCAAACAGGTTTTCTTGCTTCTCCCCACTCTTCATCTTCCACTGAGTTGCTAAAGTGATCTGCCTAAAGCATAGGCCTAGTCCCTATCCCACCCCACTTACTAAACTTCAGTGGCTCCCTGTTACCTCCAGGGTCAAATATAGAACCCTCTGGTGGACTTTAAAGCCCATCTCCTGGCCTCTTCCTACTTTTCCAGTCTTATACTTTATTCCTCTCCTCCAGGTAACTCTATGATCCAGTAACACTGGCCTCCTCACACATGCCATTCCAAGGGTTTTCTCTGACCAACCCCATGCCTGGAATGCACTTCCTCCTCATATCTGCCTCCTGGCTTCCCTGGCTTCCTTCAGGGCTCAGCTCATATCAGGCTTTTTCCAGTCTCCCTCAGTGCTAGTGCCTCTACTCTGAGATTACTTGCAGTGTATCCAGTATGTAGTATGTATATAAAGAGGTGTTTTCATATCGTCTCCCCCATTACAACGTGAGCTTCTTGAAGCCAGGAGGGGGTTTTGCTTTTCTTTGTAACCCTGGTATTTAGTATAGTGCCTGGCACACAGTAAGCACTTCATGAATGCATATTGATAACAGAATCTCAGAGTTGGGAGAGAAGGATTTCAGAGATCATCTAGTTCATTCTCCGCTCAGATGGTAATCTCTTCCACAACACCCCAACAAGTGGTCATCCACCCTTCACTTGAAGAGCCCTGTGTCTTCATCTAATGTTATTTCCAAGTCTTTCTTAGGCCCTTTAATGTATTAATGATGAAAACAAAACAGAGTAGCATTGGTTCAGAGTAATGGTTTTAAATGAATAAAAGTACACAGAAATACAAAGGATATTAATTATTTGAAATACATTTATCAGAAGCTATCAGTTATCAGAAATTTGGTGGCAAAATAGAAAGAGCTGATTCTGGAGTCATGAAGACTCAGATAGGGCCTCCAGTAGCTGTGTGACACTGGGCAAATCACAATCTCTGTCTGCCACAGTTTCTTCTCTGTAAAAGTGGGGATAATGATAGCTATTACCTCCCAGGATTGTTGGAAAGATAAATTAGTTGATATTTGTAAAGCACTTTGCACACTTTTAAAATACCATATAAACACTAGCTATTGTCAAAATATTTTGTTACAAGTTCCTTGGCTCCAGTTTACAAATGCCTCCTCTAAAAAGAAATGGTCACTTCCCCCCAAATTTCCTACCATTCTCAGCAACTACCTCAGCATCTACCAGATTCAAAATAGGAGCCTCCTCTACCTTTTCAAGAATGGAATTATCATTAAAGTTGGTCAGTAAATTATTATCTAGGTGGAGTGGAGTTAAGACAGAGTGAGAAACAGCATTTTTACTTAGCTCTCCCAGCATACCTCCTCCACAATGTCCTAGAAAATGCACAAGACTAAATTCTGATCTGGAAAGCCAAAATAAAAAGTCACAGTGAGTCATCTTTCCCAGACCAAGACAGCTTAAGAAGCCAGACAGAGAGGTCTGCAGTCACTGGGGGGCAGGAGTTGGCCAGGAGTGTGTCCATGGTGGCAGCAGTAAGGAGCAGTCCAGTGCACAGGGATGGAAAGACAGCTGAGACAGAACCAGGGCAGGAAAGAGATCGCAGGGAATCCCTAAACTAGCACTGTGTGCAGGAATGAGTGCCATCTGACAGCTTTGTCCCCCATTACCAAGTTCCTGGTCACAAGTCTAGGGTGGAAAAGAGCAGTCATGAGTAATCATGGGCCTCACTGAATACTGAGCAAGGAACAAGTCCCAGAAGTGTTGCTGGGGCACTGTGCCCAGGAGTAGAGTAGTGAACTCAGTTCTACCCTCCAGCCCAGCCTTGTAAGTAACAGCCCCAAACCAGGCTCAGGAACTTGAAGAGGTCAGACCAGAAGGGCAGTGAATAGAGCTTTCCTTGGATCAGGCCACTTTGGAAACACTAAAAGTTTGCAGGTCCCCATACTGAGCTGTGAAAACAACAAAAGGACATAAAAGTACAGAAGCTGAGCCCAAGCATCCCCCCAAGAAGTTGGCAGAAATCATAACATAATGTCCAAAGTCAAGAAATAAGCTGGATGCATAAGCAAGCCAAAAACAAACCTGATGATAAAGAGCTCCTATGGTGATGAGGAAGCTCAAGACATGAACACAGAAGATAATTCCAAAACATCTACAAGCAAAGCCTCAAAGAATAATGGACACAAGCCCATCAAGAATTCCTAGAAGAGTTAAGGTTTTGTTTTGGTTTGGTTTGGTTTTT